CTAATCCTAAGATATCCTTGTAAAATGTCCCAGTTAGCTACCTTGTGGCTTGAAATCAATCCTCTGTCAGGTCATTTCAGAGGAAGGATGGTGTGTAACGTTTGGAGAAAATGCTTTGGTTGAGAAAGGTGCTGGAAACAAATAGCTCACCAGCAGAAAGAGACCATCGGACACTGTGGCGCCAAAACCGGAGATAATGCGGTTGAGTTGAGCTGCCTATCTGGAGACAAATGATGGCAGTGATTTGCCCACAGGCAATGAGACACTGAAAGTCACTCTTTGAAATATCGAGAGCTATAAAATGCTCCGAATGACTAAAACATTTCCACAAGGCTTTTTTCTTTTCTTCTTTTTGGTCATGATAAATGTTGCAAAAAAGAAAGCAGTTTTTCAGCACACTGATGCCTCGCATCAAATTGGTCTTAAAGGAACATGTTGCAGCTATTTCAGCTTCAAAATCATTTTGATGTTTCAGTGATGTGTAATTTGTCACCTGATGCCTTTAACACCTGTTCCTGTGCTCGGTATCTTGGGTCAAGTGGGTATGATCTCCCAGAAGCGTGTAACACGTTAAGCCACAATGCCACACACTATGAACTATTAGTCCTCAGCTGGCTATAAGTTTTCATTGTTTCTTTGTTCTCTCTTGCTGGTTTGTCATAAATGAGACTCTCTGTTGTGTACATGTGCAGAGCAGCCTGTGTGTGGCTTTTTGCTAGAAGTACTTTTGATAAACTAAAGCTTTCTCTCATTTGTTTTTATGATAGCTTTTATATCAGATGTTTGGTTAAATTACATTTTACACCAGTCATTTCTGTGCAATATCCTATATTCCTCTACCTTGTGAGTCAACGTGGTTTCTTGGCTTCTGATGGAGCCTTCGCCACTTCCAGAGTGAAAACAGGTGCAGCAAAGCATCACTTTGTGCATAATAGGACTTGAAATGTCAAATTATAATATCAGCAAGAAAAATGAGCGAGTTCAATTTAAAGAAACTACATTTGCATTTTGCAAGGAGATGATGAATCTGCAGCGTCTTGATCGGGTAGAACAAGAAGCTTTTTGCAGCTCTGTTCTGTCAATTGACTCAATAATAAGATGTATTTGTACACAAAAGCCCACCATGTATAGTTTTAAAGACTTTGTAGAGCGAATCTGATTTTTGATACAGAACGTGTCTGTCTCCATCACTCGATGTGAGTGAATGTTGTTTTTGAGCAGCTAGCAGTCCTCATGGTGTGAAGACAAATATGTATCCCGGTCAAAGCGACTACACGAGCCTCGCCTGCTGCTGACACACGTCCCGGACGCCGGGGGTAAAATGATAACGCTTTGCTTCTTAACGGCAAGGTAATTTACTTAGTATTGAACCTTGAAGCCACTGAGCTAATGATGAAGGGCAACAAATAGTCAGCCTATGTACTTATATTGTGTGTGTGTGTGCGTGGTGTTTGTACTCTGGGAGTGTCCTGCGTGCAGTAACTGTGGGACATCATTACAGATCTCTGTGTGATGACTTGTGTTGTGCGATCTCATCACGGTTGCATCGAGAAGAAAAGGCACAATCTTTACTTCCTACACAGGCCAATCAGTGCTCTGCTGAGGCCGCTCCTCCTCTTCCACACACACACACACACACACACACACACACACACACACACACACACACAACACACACCACACACCACACACACTTGTTTTCATATCTTAGTGATGACATCTCATTGACATAATGCTTTCCCTGCCTGCTTACCCTAACCATCAAAAATGAATGCCTAACACTTAGCCTAAATCTAACCATAACCTAATTGTAACTCTGACACTAAAACCACATTTTGAGTCTCAAAGTGCCTTCAAACTCATGGAGACAGGCATTTCGTTCCCATAAGTGACTGTTGGTCCCCACAAGTATAATAGCATGCCAATTTTCTGTCCTCACAAAGATGTCTAAAGATGAAGACGCACACACAGAAACATTAACACGCTTATCCCACCTCAATGTTTTGCATACCTCCCTCAGACCCTCCTCTCACACACACACACACACACACACACACACACACACACACTTGCCTGGTCTACAAAGATAAATCCTTCGAATATCTTGCACTTTCTCACAGCCAACCACAGCCCAACCAAAAAGAGGACTCTCGGCCGCAGCGTCGAGCACCGCAGGCTCTGCGCGAGGCCAGAAATCCCAGCGCGTTTACCTGTTGGCTGCGACTCACACCACCCTGCCAGGTTTGGTTAATGAATGAGACGACATGGCCGAGCGAGCCAGAGAGCGAGCCGCAGCTGTCAGCAGCTGAGATGCAGAACAAATTCCCGTCCATCTCGCATCTCCTCGAGTTAAACCTGGAACTTATCCAAGCACCCGGACACATAATACACAAACACAAACTGCTTGTCTCTTATTTTTTTTCAAGAAGAAAGGCAGTTACGTGAATATTGAAATCCATCACGGCGAGTTATTGCAGGCATCGTTTACAAATTCAGACTCTCTCGGTCTGAATATTCCTTCTCCTCATCTCTTGAGCTCTGGAAACGGATTTTACTCCTTTTATTTTCCCCTCCCCCGCTTTCCTGGTTGTGTTAAAGGAGAGGGATGTTGCTTCTGTGTACAGCTAGAGCCTTTTTAAAAGTAACAGTCCAACATACCAGATCTACAGACTGGGCCTTAACAAAGGCAGCTTTAAATGGTATTCTTGGTGTTTGTTGTGCGGCAGCTCTTTCTGCTGCATTTTCAGCACCGACCGTCAGCAAATTCTGCGCTAATCTGCTCAAGTGTGTTAATGTGTGGCACTGTTTGTTGAGTGTTCTTGTTGTGTTGCAGGCACTTTCTTTCTTTGTACGTGTGGAAAGAGAAAGCCCATGTTGAATGAAATATGGCAACACAAAAGTTGTCCTGTCTTTCTTTCTCTTTCGTTCTCTGAGGTGTGTTTTATATCCCCGTGTTGGTGTTGTTCCCAGATTATCTGTATGTTGGTCCAGGTCTAACATTGCAAGTGACCAATCACATTTTTATGATGCCATAGTTTTGGGACGTGGATAAAAACCTGAGGAAACGATCCAACAAAAGAGGGCGATTAGAGTTGGGTTTGGGGATTAGGATGTAATTGTGGTTAGGGTTATGGGGCTGTTGTTAAAGTTATACCTATAGCTTTGGGGTTAGGGTTAGTGTTTGGCGTGTAGTGTGATGGTATTTCTGCATCTCAAAACTATTACATGACAACAATGAGATTTGCCACCTGAAATTTTGAATCTGGACCAGCTTTAGTTGTGGTGGTCCAGAAACAACACCAACACAGGTTTGTGTGTTCTCTAACTTGTATTGCATAGAGGATAGTTCCTTGTCCTGTGAAATATCCCTAAGCTTAATAAAGTATGGTGGCAAACAGTCAAATAAACAGGAGAGTATGTCTGTGAGTTATTTTTTATTCTTTCGGCATTTAGCTCAAAGCATAACTGTGTCTAAGTACACCTACTATACATCTGTAGTATAGCTGTAGGCTCCAATTAGTATTCACTGAGACTCAAGCAGTGAGTCAGTCCCAGTAGATTCCCATATTTAAAATACCCAGTTTTAACTGGTAGGTGGGTGGTAGCATCAAGCGGCATCCTCCAGTGGCTACTTGAAGCTGGCTCTAAAAGTGGGTCAGTTGAAGTTTTGCAGACACATGACCACTAACCATTTGAGGTTAACTTATTCACCATTTTGGATGTGTGACAATCCCAATGACAATGTAGGATCAAATGAATGAGGTCCCAATCACACATGCCTAGAAACTGGTCTGCAACCATCTTACAACCATTATTTGCAAAGGAAAAATAAGTTCATGAGAGGTTTCTGGAAGTTGATAGCATTCGCTGGGAAACTTAAGAGCTACACGCCGGCTTACAGACTAATCAGAAGCTGTGATGTGTGCCACAAACTGGAAATGGATAAGGTTCATTTTCAAGGCAATGTTGTAGACAACTTGTTTTCATAAGTCAAAACTTCTGCATTTCCAGTGTGTGTGGCATTTGTTTCAAGTTTTTCTACTGCTGGTGTAGTAGAGAGCAAGTAATTTGCAAAAAAATATGAAAAACTACTGACAACCGTGCAGCAACCAGAGCAGAGGAGGTTTTGGTCCAGCACCTTCTTGCAACTGATTCATCCAGAGGCAGCCAGTCATCTACGGAAAACCACTGTCAACCAGCTGGGGAATCTAAATTTTTTTCCCTAGCAACCAGTGGTGCATCGTGTTAAATATGGCAGAAAACTCTGGAGAAATATGTGTGTGGCAACATGTGATAAACCAGTCATCATAGATACCAATGTTCATTAAATGGCAAATGTTTGGAGCGTAGTACACAAAACCACAGATGGTTTCACCCTTTCATAACAGCTATAGTGGGATGATAGGCTTAGGGCCTGCCATGATTGACAGGTGTGCCGACACAGGGAGCTGTTGCAGATAGCTTGTTTGCCCAGGTTCACTTCGACTAATTGGAGTCAATGAGCTGAACCTGTCCAGCCTGTTTGTGCTGTCTGGAGCATTTTGAATGGAGTGATTGACTAATAGTGTGGCTCAGTTTGTGCTACACACCATCCAGGAAGTGAAGTACTTCTGTTACTGAGCACATATGCTACTTAAGCTAGCAAACTTGCTAACCAAGCTCGCTAGCCTTAGCTTATAAATTCAGCCGGCACTTCAACCTCTCATCTGGATGTAGTACTTTGTTCTTCCAAAAACAAAAGACGTGGATAATACATAAACTCTACTGTGAAATGCTCAAAGCTGTGACAGGAGCTTCAGAGCATGGGTTTCATTAGCCAAGGACCTCTTGTAGCTTCTTTGGTCTATATAGCACATCTGTCTGAGCACTTCC